GCTAATTTTTTGGGTTTTTTTTTTTTGTTTGTTTGTTTGTTTGTTTTTAATTAAAGGTGGGGTTTCACCATGATGGCCAGGCTGGTCTTGAACTCCTGACCTCAGGTGATCCACCCACCTTGGCCTCCCAAAGTGGTAGGATTACAGGCGTGAGCCACAGCACCCAGCTGTTTTTTGTTTTTGAGATAGAGTCTTGCTGTGTCCCCAGGCTGGAGTGTATTGGTGCAGTCTCGGTTCACTGCAACCTCCACCTCCCAGGTTCAAGCAATTCTCCTGCCTCAGCCTCCCGAGTACCTGGGGCTGCAGGTGCGCGCCAGCACGCCCAGCTAGTTTTTTGTATTTTTCGTAAAGACGGGGTTTCACCATGTTGGCCAGGATCGTCTCCATCTCCTGACCTTGTGATCCGCCTGCCTTGGCCTCCCAAAGTGCTGTGATTACAGGTGTTAGCCACCGCGCCCGGCTGTGCCCATTTCAAAACTGCATCTGCTAAACGCATGAGTTGTTGCGTACCAGATGAAAAGCCTGTATTGTCTTCTCTTTCCCAGTTACAGCATGAATTTCTTGCAAGTTGCTCTGTGACACTTATTTCCCGAAGCCTACCTGTCAGGGTCATGGGTTCCTCTTATGGGATGGTGTGTTAACTTTGTGTCCCACAGCTGCAACGAACATCCCCGCCGGACCACAGCAGGGCGAGAAAGGCGCCAGAGAAGCAGGCCTCACCAAGGAGCAGGAGCCCACGCCCGCGGTCGACAGCCATGAGCCCCGGCTGGGGCCACGGCCTCGCTCTCACAACAAGGTCTTAAACCCGCCAGGAGGCAAATCCAGCATCTCCTTCTACTGAGAGAAGCCACTGCTCCACTAGGAGCCAGACCGGAAACTCAAGAGATAGGGTAGCAATATTTTCATTTCCTTTAGCCCAACTGAGCGGGGTGGGAAGAGGGTTAGTCGTGTGTGAGCCTGGCTGCTCAGCGTCTCCATGGCCATCACGAGAGCTGCTTGGAGACCCGTCCCTTCCCGACCACTGCGAGATGCCTCTGTGGGGATGAAATGGGGCTCCCCTGGCCATCACTCATGTGTAGTCCAGTTATGAGAGGAACTGTAAGGTGGGGTGAGGGTGGGGAGGTGGGGCAGGGCCATGGTCCTAGGATCAACAGTCCGTCAGCTGATTGGATGTCTAGGAATGACTGAAAGAAACCAAAACAACCTGTCTGCCTCTGCCGTGGGATGGAGGAGGTGTCAGCAGAAACACTAACAGTACATGGACCCCTCGGCAGAAGCTTCCATTCCAGAGTTCACGGCTGCTAAATCCAGCGTCCCCATTTCATTTAATCCCCAGTGTATCCTGTAGCCTTTTCTTGAAATATCTTGATTGCTTTTCCTTGGTACCTTTCAAACAACCAAAAAGTTGTTCTCTGTCTTCTACTTTATGGAAGGTTTTTTTTGTTTTTTGGTGTCCTGACCCTCTGAAGTGCCCAGTTCCTGCCATCTGAAACCCCAACCTGATCTGATCTCATGTTGGAATCTTTCTGTCTTTCACACAGGGCTGCTCTTGATGCATTACATGTCAGTTTTGCTTGTGAATTCTTCCTTTTTTCCTCTTATCAGCCTTAAGTCTAGGCGTTTTGTTCTTCCCCAGTGATGTAGACAGTTCCTTTCACGAGCTACACTTCTTCCCATAAATGAGGCCCATTGACCTCTGCGGGACTTTAAAAATCCATCCAGTTATATCCGAGTAAGTGGCTTATTTCCGTTCTTCCTGTGTGTTCCTTTATTCCTGAATTGGTTGGTGGAAAGAAGAGATGCTTGGGAACCCTGTGTTCTTAGGTTTGGATTCTTTAATACCATCTAAAAAGCTATTTTTAAATACCAGCTTTACATAAATGACTCTGGTCTGTTTCTGACACCTTTCCAGAAAAAAGTCAGTTGTTCAGGTACACCAAAGAGGAAGAATAGCCGTGTAGGCCACCCTCTGCAAAGCTTTATAGAACCTCTGGATTTAACTCACGAAAAAGCCTCCAGAAGAGACTAGAGACCTTAGGCCAGGAGATGAAGGACTTGAGTAGCGAAGTCACACCTGTCCAATTCTCTGAGCTTCAATAGCCTAGCTAATGGGATGGCAAAGGTAGTGTTGCTTTCATTGTCAGACAGAAGCCCCTCCCCATCCTCCTCAAGGGCTGCAGGCTCAGTTCTCATGCTTCCCTTGGGTGGGCATCTGTTTACAGGAGAATGTCTGGGTGGTGGCAGCTTTTCTGAATGCCTACAGAGCTAATGCTTGGTGCTGCAAACGTCATCGTTTAACTTCAGAAAGGCAGCAGCTGTGTTCAGTCAGGCTCACACTGCCTCACTGCTTAAGTGCCTGCAGGAGCCGCCTGCCTGCCGAGCTCCCCTTCCCACACCTGGCACATTGAGGGTCTGCACAAGGCTGTGTCAACCAAAGACACTTTCCCCCTTTCGATTGCTTGTAGACTTTGGAGCCAAGAAACAAAGTCTCGTGACTTTGTGACTCTGTGTGACTCAACACACTTCAAATGGTTTGTGCTTCAAAGTTGCTTATATCACTTGAAACAGTTTAATGCTGGAAATGAACTAACATTTATAACTTTTTTTTATTGAGAAAAATGATTTACGAATTCCAAATCAGATTTCCAGGAAGAAATATGATGTGACAGTGCTGGGACCTGTGACTCTCCCAGCCCCTGCTGTCCACTAGGTGAGAGGAAACGCTCTTTACTTCTGCCCCTGGCAGTGACTTCTGGGTGATGGGAGAAAGCAGAGATGGAAATAAGGCAAACATGAACTCCAGCAAAAGCCCCTGGGCAGCTGTGAAGGAGCCCCTCACCTTACTCTCCTTGCGCCTGCTCTGCCTTCTTTCCCTCTGGAGGCAGTGAGGCTGGCTTCACAGTGCTTACTCTGGTCACTGGGAGAAGAGGAGTTCCTGCACATGCAAGCCTGCTATGTGGCTGCCATCTGCATTTGGGATGTGCTCTGTACGTTGGGGACTGTCTGTATTTGGAAGATTGAAAAACCTAGCATCCTCTTCTCACCCTGTAAGCTGCATTGAGAAATGACTCGTCTCTGTATTGGTATTAAGCCTTAACACTTAAGTGCATTCGGTGCCAACATTTTTCTACAGCTGTATCGAAACAAAAAGCCTGTACTCACGTCACAGCGTCATTTTGATAGGAGTATTCTGTTGTTTCTCCAAGGCAGAATTGGGTGTAACAGTTGAATTAAACTTAGTAGTCACGTGCCCAGTGTCTGTGCTTGTCAGTTGTGTGTGTGTCCCTTGAGTCCCTTCTCCACACTGCTCTTCCTTGGTGAAAGGGTTTGCCTTGTTTTCTTTTTAGTTTAGCCAGAGGATCCAAAGTTAATCTCAAGGCTTTGAGTAGAATAAGTGGGAGAATATGCCAGTTTTGTTTTCTGTTTCTATACCTTAAATGAAAGGTTATTTTCCTTTTACACCACTTGTCCTAACATGTCCTTAAGGTGTTTGACCTGCCTCTGCCCCGGCTTGCAATGCATAGCTGAGGCAAAGCAGAGAGCTTGTCAAGGAAACAGGCAGGCATGGTGGCTCAGGGCATAGTCCCAGCACTTTGGGAGACCAGGGTGGGAGGATCACTCAGCTCAGGAGTTTGAGACCAGCCTAGACAACATACTGGAACCCAGTCTCTACAAAAATCTTTTTAAAATTCGCCACGTGTAGTGGTGTATGCCTGTAGTCCCAGCTACTCGGGAGCCTGACTGAGGCAGGAGTATCACTTCAGACCAGAAGGTTGAGGCTACAGTGAGTGATGAACACGTTGCACTTCAGCCTGGAGGACAGAGCAAGACCCTGTGTCAAAACACACATGCGCACACACACAGAGATTGGATGTCTTTTCTCCTGATGTATTAGCTATTTTCATATGTCCTCAAAAATACTTCTCTGTCTCCAGAGGCCTGGCAGTGGCCAAGCCTGGAAGGACCCGGGTGGCGCCACCTGGTACAGGGTGAGGGTGTGAGTAAGAGACCTCAAAGGGTTATCACTTCAAGCCCCGGGCCTTGTCCAGGAATACACAGGCTCTGTTGACGTAAGGTAACTTTGCCGTGTGAACTTTGTGGTGTGCCTGGTGGGTCACACACACTGAGCATGTAGATGCCTCCTCCCTCCTATGCTGGCTGCTTCATTTCTGCACTCATAATCTTTACCATCTTCAAGATCGTCACTGAAAGATTCCTGTTTTATGTGTGGTATAAAGTGCTATCTAAAGATGCTCTCTCAAACTGAATTCATGAAGATGGGAGGAACATCACAGAGAGCTCTGTACTTTTTTTTTTTTTGAGGCAGTCGTGCTGTTGCCCAGGCTGGAGTGCAGTAGCGCGATCTCAGCTCACTGCAGTGTCCGCCTTCCAGGTTCAAGCAATTGTCTGCCTCAGCCTCCTGAGTAAATGGGATTACAGTCACCCGCTACCACGCCCAGCTAATTTTTTTTTTTTTTTTTTGCATTTTTAGTAGAGATGGGGGTTTCACCATCTTGGTCAGGCCTGTCTTGAACTCCTGACCGTGTGATCCACTCGCCTCGGCCTCCCAAGGTGCTAGGATCAGAGGTGCAAGACACCATGCCTGGCCAGAACTGTGTGACTTTTTTTTTTTTTTTTAAGCAGGCATTAGGGCAGATACTTAGAAATTAAACTCGAATTTTAGAAACTTTTATGCCCATCTTACATTTTAAGGTCTTTTAATGAGGAAAAAGTTGCATGACAATATTTCCAAATCTGAAAGGAAGTCAACTCCTCTATTACGAGAAGTTCTTTCTTCTCTCTCTCTCTCTTTTTTTTTTTTTTTTTTTGGAGATGGAGTTTTGCTCGTCACCCAGGCTGGAGTGCAGTGGTGCAATCTCAGCTCACTGCAACTTCTGCCTCCCGGGTTCAAGCAGTTCTCCTGCCTCAGCCTCCTGGGTAGCTGGGATTACAGGTGCCTGCCACTACGCCCAGCTAATTTTTTTGTATTTTTAGTAGAGACAGGGTTTTTCATATTGGGTAGGCTGGTCTCAAACTCCTGACCTCAGGTGATCTGTCCACCTCGGCCTCCCAAAGTGCTGACATTACAGGCCCGAGCCACCATGTGCAGCCCTTCTCTTTTTTTTAGACAGAGCCATTCTGTCTCCCAGGCTGGAATGCAGTGGTACAATCTGCACTCACTGCAGACTTGACCTCCCAGGCTCAAGTTATCTACCTCAGCTTCCCAAGTAGCTGGAACTGCAGGCACGCACCACCACAACCTGGTGATTTTTTTCTTTTTTTTTTTTTTTTGTAGAGTCTGGGTTTTACCGTGTTGCCCAGGCTGGTCTCAAACTCCTGGGTTCAAACTATCCTCCCTCCTCAGCCTCCCAAAATGCTGGGATTACAGGTTATGAGCTACAATGCCCAGCTGTAAGAAGTTCTAATTCAGTGCCAACTTTCAGGTGCAGACCAGTTATATGATTCCATAAGCATCAATAATTATCCACCATACATCTTGTTAAAATTTCATTTTGTTTTAACCAACTTCAAGTAACAAATCTGGCCAATCATGTTAGTGACAATTAAGGTGATGGGCAAGTCTGTTGGCCTCTCCCCGTGGTAGCAGTGCTCCTACTGTAGTGCTACCTCCAGAATTCAGAGGGCTCAGATTTCTCAAAGGTATAAAGCAGAAGCTTTAAACATCCCCCAAACTGCAAGCTTGCTCTAACTTGCTCACCAGGAAGAATTACAGATTACATCCATTTGCCGTGCCTCCTCGTTTTGACTTTATAAAACTTTGTAACTCTCCGTAACCTTTATCACATTATTTGCTACAGATGGCATCATGCTCCTTTCATGGAGTAGCTGATCTGTTTTGCAGGCTTAGAAATGGAAGTTTGGGGTCAGGCATGGTGGCTCGTGCCTGTAATCCCAGCACTTTAGGAGGCCAAGGCAGGTGGATCACCTGAGGTCAGAAGTTTGAGACCAGCTCAAAAAACCCTGTCTCTACTAAAAAATAAAAATTAGCTGGGCGTGATGGTGTCTGCCTGTAATCCCAGCTACTCAGAAGGCTGAGGCACGACAATCACTTGAACCCGAAAGAGGGAGGTTGCAGTGAGCCCGGATTTCACCACCGCACTCCAGTCTGGACAACAGAGTGAGACTGCATCTCAAGAAAAAGGAAATGGAGATTTGGGAAAATTAAGTCACTTGGGATCCCAGGAAATTTGAATCTGAGACTGAAACCTCTTAGTGGGATGGATGAGCATACAGCAAATCATGTTGCGAGGAGAAAATGTGAAAAACAGTAGGGCCTGGCGTGGTGGCTCACGCCTGTAATTTCAGCACTGTGGGAGGCCAAGGGGTAACATCACTTGAGGCCAGGAGTTCAAGACCAGCCAGGGTAACATAGTGAGACCTCCATCTCTACAAAAATGTTTTTAAAATTGGCCCGGCAGTGGTGGCACACACCTTTAGACCCAACTATTTAGGTGGCTGAGGTGGGGTCACTTGAGCCTAAGAGTTCAGGTGAGCCCTGATCATGCTCATGCCCTCCAGCCTGGGCAACAGTCTGAGACCCTGCCTCTAAAAACAGAACAAAAATATCAGTAGGGTGTCAGCTACAGGAGTTAATGTTTCCGTGCAGTCAAGTTAGGGTGAGAGGATGTGAACTGATGAGGATTTGAGTAGGTGAAAGACGGTAAGTGAACATTTCCATTACCATTAAGCCTCACTGATGTGGTTTCTTCAGAACTCACAGTACATGTGTGGCTCCCAAACTGAGTTTCAAAGTCTTGGGTTCATGGCGTTCCCCTGCCCAGCAAAATAAAGTGCAAATCTTCTGGAGCAACACATAAGTTCAGGCCTCAAATACTTCCAGAGATAAAGTCATGAGGACACTAGCTCAGAATGGGGGAAGGGGAGCCTGCACCAAGAGTCAACCAGATGACATGCAGAATCAGACCTGCAAAGGCTGCAGATACTGTACTTATGAGACACACACACAAAGCTTAAAGATAAATACCGGTTTGGAAGTAGTAAGAACCCTTCAAAACTGCTAAAATATAAGAAATCAAATAGGTCAAAAATAGAATCATTGGCTGGGCGCAGCCTCACTTGGGGAGTGAGGTAATCCCAGCACTTGGGGAGACCAAGGGAGGCGGGCAGATCACTTGAGGTCATGAGTTCGAGACTTGCCTGGCCAATATGGTGAAACCCCTGCCTCTACTAAAAATACAAAACATAAGCCAAATGTATGGCGCACGCCTGTAGTCCCAGTTACTCGAAAGGCTGAGGCAGTCGAATCGCATGGACCCGGGAGGCAGAGGTTGCAGTGAGCCGAGATCGCGCCACTGCACTCTAGCCTGGGCGACAGAGCGAGACTTCGTCTCACCAAAAAAAATAATAATATATATATATATATATACACACACACACACACACACACACATCTCTTTGAAATTAGTAAACCAGTAGTGGATGGGTTGAAGAGATTGCACATAGCTGAAAAGAAATAAAAAATCCGTTCAGCGCCGTGGCCCACGCCTCTCATCCCAGCATTCTGGGCGGCTGAGTCAGGAGGATCACTTGAGGTCAGGAGTTCGAGACCAGCCTGGCCAACATGGTGAAACCCCATCTCTACTAAAAATACAAAATTATCTGGCCTGTAATCCCAGGTACTCGCAAGGCTAAGCCAGGAGAAGCACCTGAACCCGGGAGGCAAGGGTTGCAGTGAGCCGGGATTGCGCCACTGCACTCCAGCCTGGGCGACAGAGCGAGCCTCCATCTCGCAAGAAAAAACCCGAAAATCTGAGTAAGTCACACTGTGCAGTAGGGAGAAGTGGGCGAAAGGAAGACGGCCACACTGCCGGGTTTCAGGATGAGATGGGCGCTGAAGGCGCATTCACAGAACCTCGGGAAGAGCCAGCTGAGATGGGAGGTACCAGGAGAGGGGAGGCGCCGGGCGCGGAGTCAGCCGGGCGCAGTGCCGCAGGGAACGCAGGCGCATCAGGGCGGTCGGGGTGGAGGCGCAGGCGCTGAACCTTCACCTAAAGCCGCTGGTGCGTGCAGAGCCTGGGGACGCGAACGAGGTCACTGGACGCCCAGGGTGGTCGAGACGTGCTCAAGCTACCGCGCGCTGCGGACTGCAGGCGCGACCACAGCCGCCCCGCAGCGCCCACCAGCCGGCCTGGCCAGGAGCGCCCCCAGCCCCTCTCAGCCGCGCTTCCGGCCCAAAGCCCCGCTTCCTCTGACGTCACGGCCCCTGCGCCCCC